TTAACATGCAAGATAGAAACGAGAAAGAGCGGAGTATGCTTGAAGATATTAGATTGATTGTATTCTAAAGGTAATTGTCATTTTATTGTAACCCTGATTATCATTATATCGTAAAGATAATTTCCAATATAGTGTAAAAAGTAATTACAAGTATATTATAAATGTAATTACCAGCATATAGTAAAGATATTTACTGGTATATTGTAAAGTTAATTACAAATGTATTGTAAAGTTAATTACTAGTATATTGTAAAGTAATAACAAGTATATTGTAAAGTAATTACAAGTATATTGTAAATGTAATTACCGGTATCTTGTAAAATTAATTGTAGGCATAATGTAAAGGTAATTACAAGTATATTGTAAAGCTAATTACAAGTATATTGTAAAGTATTACAAGTATATTGTAAAGTATTACAAGTATATTGTAAAGGTAATTCCCGGTATCTTGTAAAGGTAATCACAAGTATATGGTAAACGTAATTACAAGCATATTGTAAAGTTAATCACAAGTATATTGGGAAGCTAATTACAAGTACACTATATTGTAAATGCAATTACCAGTACATTCTAAAGGTAATTACAAGTCTTTTGTAAAGGTCATTACAAGTCTTTTGTAAAGGTCATTACAAGTCTTTTGTAAAGGTCATTTCAACTCTTTTGTAAAGGTCATTACAAGTCTTTTGTATAGGTCATTACAAGTCTTTTCTAAGGGTCATTATATTGTAAAGGTGGGTCCCAGTATACAGAAAATATAACTGCCATTATATCGTAAAGGTAATTACAAGTATATTGTAAAGGTAATTAACAGTCTATTATAAAGGTAACTACCAGTAAATTATAAAGGTAATTACCTGTATATTGTAGAGGTAACTACCATTACATTCTACCGGTAATTGCCAGTATATTGTGACAGTAAGTATACGTGTATTGTGAAAGTGATTACACGTATATTGTAAACGTAATTACCAGTATCCTGTAACGAGGATTACTTACTCGTAGATTGTAAAGGTAATTAGAAAGTAGATTGTAAAGGTAATTACAAAGTAGTTTGTAAATATAATTACAAAGTAGATTGTCAGTATATTTATTGTTATGGTATAAATTCCACTTAATTGTAAATGTAATTGCAAGTATATTGGAACGGTAATTACAAATAAAATAAAACCAAGTACGAACAATCCAAACCATTAGACAAAATTCGAAGTCTTAAAAAAACGGTATAGGCAAAATGGTGTAATCAGCAAATGGACTGTTCACCGTGTACAAAACATTATAAAGGTCATTTCCTGTATATTGTATAGGTATTTACCACTAATTTGTAAAGGCCATTCCCAGTATATTATAACGGTAATAACTAATGTATTGTAAATGCAATTACCAGTATATATCTTATTGTAATGGTAATTACAAGTATATTGTAACGGTAATTCCCACTATATTCTAAATGTAATATAAAGTGTCGTTTAAAGTTACAATTTCATATTTTTAAGTTATATTTTTAAAATGTATTAAAATAAAGCCCTAAAATAGATGGTATGTATAAACAGTCCTACCTTGTTAAAGAATAACCATATTGATCCTATAATTCACTATTGCCAGTTGATAAATTGGCAAAAATATCATTTTCAACTTCAAATTCAAAAGTTTGAAGATAGCTATTCCATGGTGAGGAACAGGAAAACAAGGGAGGTAATTGGGAGGTAATTGTGTTATTATTTCCGGTGTGAAGATTTTTAAGTGTGAGAAAGATAACCTATGATCGTATAATAGTGAATGGACAACCTATTGAGCAATAGACATAGAAATAATTATGTTTTGACTTTCTTAGAAAATGTGAAATTGTAGCTTTAAAGGAATTCAGTTTTCTTGAATAAATCTATGTTTTACAATTTATATATTTATTTTTCCTTTAAGTGGCACTTTGTTTACTACAGGTAAATTAAATTATACACTTAAACTAATTGTCGACCCATGTGCGTTTTTCTATTGAAAAGAAAAGTACATTTAAATTCAAAGTAAATGTTTGAAATTCATTTTGTATCCTTCTTTAAATACTTCGCTTACTAACCTATTTCCCTTTACGCCGAAATTCTTCTTATAAATTTACTGAGTTTTTTTATATCTAAACATAGATATAAAAGAAGAATAATACTTCATTTTAAGTGTACTGTTTACAGAGGGAGTTTCGCGTGTAAGTGGTGTTTTGTCGTAGGACGATTTGGTCTGTATACGACTGACTGTCTTGTGTAGATTGCGAGATCGCCATATTTAGATGTACACAATTTCAAACTATAACAGAATCATTTGCGTGATAAAGACGAAAGCTTAATAGTCGAAACGTTGCATGTTATTAAACCAGTAATTATTATTCTATAACATAATGTTTCAACATGGCCTATAGGTTGTTCAAGTTAAAATTGACATTGATTTCAAAACGTAACATCTAACATTGACATTGATTTCAAATGTTAGTTTTAATATGTAGCATTTGATATTGATTTTAAATCTTTATTTTAATATCTAACATTTGATTTTAAATCTTAGTTTTAATATCTAACATTTGAAATTAATTTTGAATCTTAGTTTTAATATTTAACATTTAAAATTAATTTTAAATCTTGCTTTTAATATTTAATATTGACATTAATTTAAAATCTTGTGTTTAATATCTAACATTTAAAATTAATTTTGAATCTTAGTTTTAATATCTAAAATATTTGAAGTTCCTTCCACACATCATATTTTGAAACATTGAATGTTTGGGTAATTTAAACACGTCATTTTTGGAAGCGCTGTCCTGTATTTAAAGATATATTATGTAAGAGATCAATCTGTCTATTGCAGGTCTCTAGATTGTGTCTAAACCATCGGATGGTCGCCATGTTCAATGGATTGAAACATGATCGCCATATAATAATTTTCAATATATTCATTTTACATTATCTATTTTTGAACTAGTATAGCCAGAACGACCCTATCGTTATCTAATATCCCCGTAAGACCGGTGTGCCGTCCTTAATGCGACGCTACGAGGACGGAAAATGGTCGCGTGGTAAAAGCGTGGTGGAAAGGCTAGATATCGTTTTGCGGTCTCCATGGTCGCCAATGATCGCCGAATCACGACGTTTGTTCAAACCAAACGCACGGTCTGAGATCTGAACTGGAAAGCTGTAAGAACGCGACTTTTTTCAAGTTTGTAATTTTTTGGGACATTTTCTCGTGTTGTGTTTACGTTTGCCGGCGACCTTGTACATTTTCTGGTCGCAGTACGGTCGCTTCAGCGCCGTAAGGACGGCAGCCCGGTCTGGCGGGGTCTTAAGTCTTACATAATGTCCCTTTAAAGGCTATCTCTTATAATCAACAACCAAACGAATTTTCAACTGAACGAAAGTATGGGAGAATGGTATGATTAGGTTTTTCAAATATGTGCGGGACAAATTTATCGGGTCGGAAATCTCTTACCAAATTTGTCAGGGGCGGATCCAGGAATTTTTGCAGGGGGGGGTGGGTCATGTTCCTGAGACAATGTATCCCCCCCCCCCTCCCACATGGTCTCTATCGTCATTTTGGCGTATATTATGAATTAATACAATGACATTGTGATTCAATTTCATGGATGCAAATTAATTGTGATATCACATAATGTCTATATCATTATCTCGTACTTTGAGTGCCCATCCGGTCCCAATTCTGACGATAAAGGATAAAGCACACGGCCGAGAAACCTTTCTCATAAAAAGTGTTGATTTACAAAAAATTTTATGTAGCTGAGCAGGGGGGGGGGGGTCGACCCCCCCAACCCCCCCCCCCCCTCTCTGGATCCGCCCCTGTTTGTGCTGAATCTGTCACATGATTAAGACTAATGTTATGCTAGGTTCCCACCATCACGATTCTCGCTACAAATGAAATCGTGGTTTTAATGATGAAGTAATCGTGGTGATCCTATCAGATCTTATTATATATTAAGGTCGGGCGTAGCAATTGTGTTGATCGCATCGAGGCGTATCCGAACGTATCGGCACGTACCAGGCGTATCCGAACGTATCTGCACGTACCAGATCGTGGACTCAAAAGGAATAACCCTATCGTAACGCACCGCACGACGGTGGGAACCTTGCATCGAAGTCGGGATGAAATGAGATTCTGCAAGAGATTCTTTTATAAAGATATTTTTGATTAAATTGTGATTTGATTATAGGCGTTACATGGTTAATAAAGCCTGTGTGTCCGTGTGTTGTGTCCACGGGATTATTTCAATTTGTGTGCTGTGCAGTCATCCTGTAAGCCATTAGAAAGAATTAGATGACTAGATTAAGAAAAAGGTCAGCAATGTAGAAGAACATGCTCTATACAAATAGTAGTGTTATTATTCATTTAATATATTTAATAGTTTGTGTGTGTGTGAGAGAGAGAGGGAGAGAGAGAGAGAGGGGGGAGAGGGAGAGAGAGTGTTATTATTCATTTAATATATTGGGTGGCCCAGTCTGAGAGAGAGAGAGGGTTTAACGTCCACTCGACACAAACTTGGTCATTTCGGGACTAACATATTGTTCAATTTCTATTTCAATAATTTGCTTACGCGTTGGGGTTTTTAGCAGTGGGAGGAAACCGGAGCACCCGGAGAAAACACAAGAGTGTGGACAGGCGAGCCTACTTCTTGTCACGTACAACCTGGGAATAGAAACTACACCAGTTGACTCAATGACGGACCTTATGATGCAGCGCGCACCTGCTACCCATTCGGCCTTCCAACCCCCCCCCCCCCCCGTTTTGTGAAAGGCCAATGATGATATACTGGGCCACCCGATATATGGACAGTGGAATCAATTAATATATTTCTTGAAAATTAAAAACATAAGAAAGTCGTACAATGAAAATTAAAATGTTGAGGAAAGAAACACAGTATTATGCAGCTAGCTCTTTCAGCTCCACATCGGAACATCTTCAGGTTTTTAATCCATATTCTCCATTAATAATTATATAATGTTGATACTAACCTGGACACGGAGTGGCTGGTCGCTCACATATTTCGTTCTCCGTGTTAAATGCTAAACCATCGATACATTTCGATTCTATCCAATAGGAAAGCCCGTCGCTCTTTTCTGCACACTGCCAGAAGGATGTGCAGTCATCCGGTTTAGCGAAAGAGCGCTCCTGAGAACACTCATCGCCAGTTTTTGGAAGTACAGATTGACCAGCAACCAGCAACAAGGCTGTGAATATAATAAGATAAAACATTAATTGTTATAACAAGCATCCCTATTTACGAGAAAAGAGAGAGGGAGAATGTGTTTTAACGTCCATTAGTTATTTTGGGACTAACATATGGTTCAGTTGTAATTCAATAATTTGCTTGTGCATTGGGGGTCTTTAGCTGTGGGACAAAACAAGGACGTCTCGGGGTTGATTCCGATGTTGGCCGAGAAAGTACTGCAGTCTGGTTTCCTCTTGTCAGTGTTGTAAGATATCGGACGCCCTAGCATGAAGGGATGGTTTTCTTCTTGTTTGAATGGGACAAAAAAAAACCCGTGGTCCCGTGTATAACGATCCCCTGACAGTTGTAAATTAAAATAAGAGTAGGCAGATTTACTTCATTTTTAGAATGAAATATATCCAAAGGATTCGTCTGTTTTCAAAACATATTGCGAGAGAGAGAGAGAGAGAGAGAAGGGTGGGTGGGGTGGGGGTAACGTCCACTCGACATAATGTCATTTCGGGGTCTTTAGCAGTGGGAGGAAGCCGGAAGACCGGGAGAAAACCCACGAGGTTGGAAATTTTGGAATATTCTGAATATTCTAAACTATCAGCACATAATACGCATATTTATACCCCTCCATGTACATTTCTAAGCATGGTTAGCGTGTGTGTGCTGTATCAAAAGGTCTGCCATTGAGTCAACTGGCGTGGTTTCGAATCCCCCGGTTGTACGTGACAAGGGGTAGGGTCGCCTGTCCAACCTCGTGGGTTTTCTCCGAGTCCCCCGGTTTCCTCCCACTGCTAAAGACCCCTACGCGCAAGCGATTCCGTATATATGTAGATGGGGTGTTAATAGTGTTAAATTTCGTGATAAATTCAACACTAACCTTATTTGAAAACTAATGAGATGACATGAAATGAAATGTAAAGGTTAATGTCCTATTTTTGTATACGAACCGGGATATTAGAGTGCGAGTAATAGTTTGCATTTCGAAATACATTAAAGGAATTCCTGAATGTGAGCGCCCCCGTGATTTGGGTTGAAGTGTGATGAAATATGTTACTGCTCACTAATAATTCCTTCGAAGACCAAAAGTTGTTGTGTGAGAGGAGGATATCTGACAATTTATAAAAAGAATTGAAAGTCACTAGATACAAGAATTGACTGTCACTAGATAAGAGAACACGAAAGAAAAATAGAAAAGGTCCGTGCATTACCATGTTTTTATTAGGAATAGAATGAATAAAAACAAGGGCATGTACGGACTATTTCTATTTTTCTCGTGTTTTCTTATCTAATGACATTCAATTACTTTTTTGAATTGTCAGATATCCTCTTACAGTCTCAAATAACAACTTTTGGTCTTCGAAGGAATTATTAGTGAGCAGAAATTCTCTCGTATATATGTTATCACTTGTCACTTCAGTCAGTTATATAGAGGGATAACTCGTGTTTTCCTTTTGCGTTCGTCACTTCCGATTGTTGAAACCTTTATTACGCATCTATCGTAGCAATAATCCCTGTGTTAAAATTATATTTAGACCGTGTTTAACCAGTTCTATCACATATGTAATGATATTGTTCTTTAATATATTATGCTATATTCCCGTTCTCAAAAAGTATAGGGTTATTATCTTCCTTGGGGCGCGAGAAATAGTTAGCATTCTCGGAGTTCTTGGACGTGAACGCCATCTCCGGCTCTGAAATAGTATAAAAAACGTGTGATTTTCACTTGACATCACTGGTATTACAACAGACAGTATTACGTTAAGTTACGTGTAACAGGAATATGTTGATTTATTGGCTTCGTTACGCGTTTCAAACGCCAAGTTTGTCATGTTATCTTAGTTAGGGTTTAAATCTTGGGTGTTGGAATGTTTGAGCTCAGCATGAAACAATGTCGACACTGGGAGACGTAACGGATTGTAGTCAGGCTACACATTATACCGACTTGACTGGACAGGTTACAAGGGTATCTTGACTTCTGTTGCTAATGGGAAACGTACCAACTCTGTTCATCGTATTTGAATGAATCAGTTGTTTTGGGGTTTTTTTTCAGATAGGTGTTCATGGATAAATACGAAGTTACGAAGCCATCTACTGGGGAATGGTTAGAATTTTAAATAAAACAATTACGTTTAGTGTTCAGAATTGTGTAGATGGATTATTCGCAGTGGAAGTGTACTCGTACTGAGAACAAGACTAGTTTAAATTTCGTGGGGGGGGGGGGGGGGGTCAGGGTGGCTAAGTGGGTAAGACGCTGGCTCACTAGCCTGGAGGTCGGGTGTTCGATCTCTGCATTGACCGAGAACGTTTATCGGGATTTTCCGAAGTGGTTTCCCCTCGTTAGTGGTGAACGACGGAGGGCCTGACAAGGAAATCTGTCTAGTCGTTCGGATGGGATTAAAAAAGGAGGTTCCGTGTATACATTGGGGTGACGTAAAAGATCTCTTGGTTGTTTTAATTCGATATAAGAGTAGGCCATAGTGACGCTGCCCGGGAAAAAATTCTCTTATAGCACACTGTATGGCGTATGCCCGTCTTCATTAGCCCAGGTTAGGAGCAAAACAGTAGGACGTTAAACCCCATTTCATTTCTCTTACTAGTTTGAATTTAGTGGGTAGGGCTTTTCAGATTTAATCATTCCGATGGAGACAAATTTAACTTATATTTTTCTTGTATATGGGTGAGGATAGATGTAACAATAGTTCGAATTTAGGGGACGGGGGTGGATGGCCGAATGGTTAGCGCGTGCGCGCTGTGTCATAATGTCAGTCATTGGGTCAGTTGGCGTGGTTTGGATTTCCCGGTTGTACGCAAGGAGTAGGGTCGCTGTTACATAATAACAGATGTTATATACGCTTCCTATCATCTTGATACGCGAAAGTGATTTTAAACCTGTCTACTATCGACACTCCTAGAGGTCTTATGTTATTATGTAATCTTAACTTTAACTTGTTGGCATGTCTTATTTAAACTTTCCTTGATGATAAGCAAACTGTAGCAAACTGTACTAAATGTTAAACCTAATATGATACATGATACATTAACCAGATGTCTAATAAGATTCCTTTGTCTGGAAGGGTTTATAAGCCCAGATAAGAATCCGGCTCAGGGAGAGGTCCGGACAGGACACGAGAGCGGAGGCCATGGGCGCCTTGGCACAAGACGACACGGAACGAGGGAGAACGCCTGAAAGGTGGCAGGTTTGTGCCAAGCTAGGACATGGCTCGCTCAATACAAGTTAGTTATGGAGTCTTTAAGTTTTGTACATAATATGTTAGAAGAAGCAGAAAATAAAAGTATTATTATATGTTAAACTAGTCTTGTCACCCAGAACATGATATAAAGACACAATACTGTCACATCGCCTGTCTAACCTTGTGGGTTTTCTACAGGTCCTGAGGTTTCCGCCCACCCGCCCACTAGTAAAGACATCTACACGCATGCGAATTAATGAAATAAAATTGTACCAAGTAACCACCCCTCTCTCTCTTTCTCTCTCTCTCTCTCTCTCTCTCTATTGCAGGTCTTTCTTTGGGCCTGAAATGTTTTCTAAATTATTAATTAGATATTAATTAACTTATCCAGGCCTTTTAAAATGAACTCTCGATGGCATCGGATTTCTCCGATATTGAATAGATTAGAACAGTTCAGCCATCTTTTGATTTAAGCTAAAAATGGAGGAGCGAAACATAGCTTCGAACAACCTGTACTGTGGTTAAAATTATTGCACACGTCTTGCCAAACCTTTAAAGGCTAATATCTTCACTCGCAATAGAGTAATTTGAATGAAATTTTCAAATTATTCATTTTTTATTATCTATTTTCGAACTATTACAGCAAGACTGGCTAGCTCTTTATCTAAATCTTACATAATGTATCTTTAAGCTTTTAGAAATATGCCAACTTGATAAAATTTCTACATTTTATGAGATGGCGTCAATGCACTTGTTGACTAAACAGCCTTTTGTAACATTACTTGGCAGTGCATATGGGTGCAGCATTAGCACCATGTTCAGTCAATGTTTAAAGTAGCTAAGTCTCTAACTCAATATCATCCAAAGTCTTCGACGTTGAAAACACGAACTATTTGTCAATTTAAATCAAGAAAGTTGTTGTGATCTTACCGGGAAAAGATGAGATTCTGATATCCAATATTTAAGACAAAATACACATTTTACCATTGGTACACAAATCAGGGACCATAATGCGTTTCAGCGCCATTTGTAACAAGGGACTCGAAGAAAGAGACTAGAGATATTCCACAAGTCATGTCAAACGGTGGCGCCATATTCTTATCTGGAGAGCATGCGCAATAAATACTATTGGTGTAGACTGGAATAACCAGACTTTACAGATTCCAATTCGATAGCGACTTCTGACATATTACATCGAACATAACAGATTTGAAATTACAGTTAAAAACGGATACGACTGAATGTAAATCAGTTTATATACATTCGTATTACATTATTATATGCTTTGAGACCCATTTGTGTCAATTTCTAGGTCCTAAATATTAGCGATTTAGCACCTTTAAGCTTATTGAAATCGATTCTAGTTGATGTTGATTTCAAACTTGACAAGATGTTGAATCAATACAAGAATATTCTTATTTATATTAAACCATGATAGTCTCTGGACAATGCTGAGCAGTAATTTCTCGGTCTTTCTTCCGTGTATTAATCTTTACGTCAATATTCCCCCCGGTTCTAGATTTATAAACATTGTATTTCTACCTTTGTTTGGCACGAGAATCAAAGTCATTGTACTTAAAAGATTACCCTAACATCATCTATACTTACCAAGATTTCTTTAGACACAATTTTTTTTTATATATTCCAAATGGAGTAAAAAAACATAGACTTCCTAGTTACAAATCGTATTGTTATGCAAAGGTGCCTTTTCCTTTTGTCGAGATTGTTGACCCCATGAGTGAACCCAGCTGAAACGTCATAGTGTTTAAAGTTACTACGCGGGGTCTAATTTAAAGTTACAATTTCATATTTTCTA